TTTGGGTCCAAATATACAAAGTATTATTGGGATTTTCTTTCGTAAGTACGGTATAATATGACAATAGGCCCCATTATATGAACTCAGAATATAACTGATGATAAGTGATATTGCCTACATTTTAATATACCTACATAATTATGTGGTTAACCCTTCGAGGATTAAATATATACGTATTAGCCTATTTGGTATATGTATAATAAATACGTGGGTATAGAGCAGTAGTGCTCTATTGCTGATTATACTTTAAGGAGTTACTATATGTATGTATGTAAGTAATATGTATGTATGTACTTTCCTCGTTTTATGTAGGCTTGTATGTACACCGATTTTTTCGAGATCACGGGCCTGATTTGCGTAAATCTTTTTTGTTAGATAGAGGAAGCTCAATGTCTGTATCTCCGTATTTGCCAGGGATCTAGGGATCTTTGGAGATATAAGAACATGAATAGCAAACATTATCTTGCTACATACACATAGTATTAAAAAAATTAACGAATAAACGAGATCCTTTCATTGTTTACACATATCTAATTAAGAGAGTATTTTTAACCTCGGTACATACGAACAATCCCTTTTTACCTACGTAGTATTCAGTATTCACCCCTAAATTCTCAAAATTATGATCACATTTATTTAGCTTTGAGAATAGGATTTACAACAAAACTAAATAAAAGCTTGTAACAAGGAAAGCTAAGGCCAAAAGGAAGAGACAAAAGTTTTAACAAAAACAAACCGCTTCAAAAAGTAAGAAATAATTTCAGATTTAAAAGTCGGCAGCAAAAAGAGGCAATTAAAACCAAAGCCAACGACTTCCGAATTTGAAGTTTTTGTTTTTCGTGGGCGGTTTTTTCTTCGTTTCTATGGACAAAAAGCAAATTCCATGTTCTTCTACTAAAAGTCACAAAGTTATTCCATTTATAAAATTTAAATTTCATAAATATGGCGGTTAAAATTTTACGCAGGCCATTATGACGGTTTTTTGTGTGTAAAAAGGTTTTATCCACAGTAAGTATTTGAGTGGTTAACTAGTATAATACGATTGTAAAAAATAATATAATTAATCTTATTATTACAAAAATAAAAGTTATTAAATATATATTATTATTAATTAAAAAATTGAAATGAAAACTTTTTATGCAGTTTACCATCACCAGTTTGGCAACAGGAATAGCCTGGTATCTGGTTTACTCAATAATTGTATATACTCGTCAAAGTAGTAGAATTAATAGAAGCACTACCTATATCTTTAAAGCACTAGTATTCTACTACTACTATGTAGTTAGCATCATAGCTTTGTGCCTATGATTTCTGAAGACGATGTCCAATGTTATGTGTTACGTATCAATCAAGGGTGATACTATTCAACAGACATTCAGTATTCAGGTACTGTTTAGGCTCATCAGCATGATTGATTGGACGACAAATCCTGTCCTCCTGTATACAATCATAAGGCGACTATAGCTTGAACAAGTTTCCAGTGCATGCTTTCAGTAGGTGTATCATTATACAAATGTATGTATATTTGAGCAGGTGGCCTAGCATTTTGAATCTTAGTGAGAATGAGATTTTAAGACTCAATTTTTTTTTTAAACGTTGCCCCACTCTAGTATTCTCTCCTGGGTCAAGTGTCGTGGGTGCGTTTACAAACATACAAGTGTACATACACATGACACCCAGACCCGGAACAACAATCTGTGGATCACACAAAATAGTTGTTCCGTGCGGGAATCGAACCCTCGACACGTTGCTCAGCTACCGCGCCAACCGTGCAGTCAGTATTAATTATTCTTCTTTCATACCTTTCATCATTGTGCGAAAATATAAGTAAAAGTGAACAATTTATTATTGATATAATCCAACGCGTCATTATCCAAAGTAATACAGTCATCTGTATTAATTTGTATTATGCGCTCATGCGCATAATACAAATATTGCAATATAATTTTCTGTGGTAACACAAAGTAACAAATGTATTTCAATGGAATAAATTGTTGCAATTTACGCTTTACAAAATATTATATCGTATCCCAGCCGGCATCAACGTGTGGCTGGATGCTCGACCACAATTCGGGAACTCTTCGTGCAAGCCATGAAACGTAAAGCAATAACCGAATGGCAAATATACGGCCATGCTGGAATTGCGAATATTTAATTAGTAGACCATCAGTATATTCCTGATTATTTAATTAACAACTGTTAATAGGCACCTGTACATGTATCCTACTGATTAAGTAGTCTATTAATACGGGTTGTTTATAAGCTGTAACGGTTCAATGGGTTTAGATTAAAGGCGTACCGTCAGTCCATGGATTAAGACCGGATAAGTTTAATAACTAAATAACATGTTAGTAAATTCATAAGAACTTTTCGAAGCATAAATATTCTGAAAATGTACTGTTTTAAACGTCTAGCTAAGAGTAAAGCGAAGTAAACTATTTATCTTATTCTTTTTTTGTCCCAACTAAGTTAAGACCAGTATCGAGACAATCTGATTCGGTTCCATGTCAGTACTTTTCATGACGACACAACCGTAGCCATCCCATACAATCGATAATTATTTATTCAGAAGTAAGCTTTATTTTATAATCTATATAACGCCTCAAGAATTACTGTTGATAATCACCATTTATGAATAATTCATATTCAGAAACAGTAATCAGTTGTTATAAGCCAACGACCAACGGCTAACGGCCTAACAATAAACTCTCCATCTATAATAAAATTGCTCAGGATTGGAAAATAAATGAATTAATTTATACAAAACTGTCAATTATGGTCCACTTAACATGGCTGTTTCTCATGGCTTACTTCATCATAAAAGATTTTATGTAATACTATTTCTACATTATCTTAAATTTTAATGAAAACTGTCTGTGTTATTTTTGGGGTTAAATTTACCAAAACTATCTTTTATATAAACTTAATCCTGTCGATAAGGAATATAACACAAATCTAACCAAAATGGTATAGTTATTTGGAAGTTAGACGTTAACTATAATATGTTTCTATTGTGACGAATGTTACAAAATGGTTCAATGTAAACAGTCACTTACTCAACCTGGTGATTTAACATACCTACATGTAACAACAAACAGATACAAAACGCGCTAGCTACAGACTATCAAAAAGAAAAGAGCGAGATTTTTCAAAGATAAATCTCAGCCAAAAGGCGTAGTGTATCATTTCGAACTAACTCTAGCTGACTTGAATAATAGTAGCTTGCCTTGAGTCAGTTTTGAATCACTATAATATTACATCTCTGAAAGTAGCATGCAATTTTCCTATGTAGGACGCACAATAAAAATACATTGTGTCTTGCTTAGTTCCAGTAAGACTTGAATTCAATCTAGTTTTGTAGCTACTTAAGCCTCTTTAGGAGTAAGTAATAAGGAACAATGTTGAATGCAATTGTCCCATTCTTCGTTTTCCTCCTCAATCTATCATACTTGTCTAACGAAGCAGTTTTAAATATTTCCGCTGCCATTGTTTTCAATCTCGTACCGTCCTAATCCGTGATTGGTGCAAATGATGCAAACCACAGCGTCGGCATCTGCGTCCAGAATTCGATAATCTTGGTCGACGTATTCGTAATAATAGCGGTCCATTCGCTCCTGTTACGGTTGATATCGAGTATGTGGTTATTGGGCCAAATGTGGTAGGCACCGCTGGCACAGTCGTACAGTTTGCTAATTTCCGGTGCTTTCAAAACATCTCGTTCGTTCGCGTTCAAGTTGAGCTTCCGCGATGATTGATTATGATTGATTTTACGAACAAAATACTTAACAATCATTTATATTATGAAACAGGGACGTGCTTAAGTCTTCGGTCTTCGATCTTCAGAAAATGAAGAAAAGAAGCCACTGGAGAAATGTTTGTTTCTTTTATCTCCAAATAGAAATGTAATAACAATGTATTGATTGATACTCATCAATGTTTATTTATAGAAATGCTACACGTGTAGCGTTCTGTCATTATTGATGTATTGCGCTAAATATTTGCGAGAACCAATGTTAGTATTTGGCAAATAGAAATCTCAATTGGTCGTACAGAAAATGTGTGAAAGTCAACCAATCTAGAAGACTTGATTGTGTCAATGACCTATATGGTCTGAGACACACTTTAATTTAAATGTGTAGTCACATCTCATTTCGTACAACGCCAAGCAGTCTGAGACTTTAATCTGTCAATAGATGTGAGCGCTATCAGTTAAATTGAAGCCCTCATAAGAGTGAACAGCGTGACATAAGAGCGAGCGCCATAAATGTATGTACATATATAGTTTAACGACCCAGCACTTTACATGATTGATTAGATACTTCATTGATAACATCAACTTTTTCTTACAAAAACCTTTTTCACTTACATGGAATGAAAAGTTAATTGATGTTCACGTTTAATTAAACTTTATGCGAGAGTTTATTAGGTGCTTTAAGATTACAGTTGTAGCTTAAATGGCTTCTAATATCTATAAGAGCTTACTTGTAATTTAACACACGGTACATAACGCACAGAACCAGCCAAACGCACGTAATTACCTTCCACGATAAAAACTCCTGAGGATTATAGCCACAAAGGAGGATTGAATAAATATCGATAGAAATACAATTCCTTTTATACGAGTGATTTATGGGATCTGATTTGAAATACATAAGGAGGGAGACAGAGGGGCGCCTGGCCAAGGTAGCGGACTGGGGAGGTGTGTATACGACACTTGCTACATTATATACCCATTATCACCACTTCCTAACGATTTTAAGTGAGCTATGTATCTGGAAAAACTGGGTCGCTTTCTTAGACGCTGATTCAATTCACATCTATTTAAATTCCAAATGCGGCGCGCAAGTGCAAGTAAGGTATGCGTCCACACTGCACCCTCGGCTGCCTTCGATGTAGGTCAGTCTGGTGGTTATGCATGTCAAAGGCATATTTATCTGGCTAACTGCTTGCACGGGGCCGTCGGTGGAGGAGCGTCTGCAGAGGACCAATATAACACTTACGACGTCGATGAGTTGACTGAGTTTGAGTTTGATGCAGACTCGCAGCACGTCGGTGGTGTTGACGACGGGTCGCACGAGCTTGTTGTAGTTGGAGAGGAGGTCATCGTAGAGTCGCTTGGCGTCGGGGTTGCCGGCGGTGGCGGCGCGGAGCAGGCAGGTGGCCGCCAGCCACCACACGATCGCGGCCATCAGCTCGGCGCGGGCATCGTTACGTAAAACTCGGGTACAGGGGCGGGTGGCCCGGGCGCGGCGCGTCGCTGACTGCCGCCCTGCGCGCCCCGAGTTTCCCCCGCGCGCCCCCTAGCTGCCCCAGCATACAAAATACAACAGAACTGACACTGCTTTCATATTCAATATAGTAGTGACATTTATTTTTTGTTAACAATGCTCCATCATCATTGTTATTTGAGGCTTGATAAAATAGGTACTTTTAAGTTATTGAATATTGAATACTAACTTAAAATTTAAGAATCCAGTGATTCTAACTATTAATTATTATTAAAATCCATTCAAATGCTTAATTGTGGAGACTAGTATTCTGAAATTTAATAATTTTACAACGGTTATTGAAAATTTTGCACACATTGTAGAAAAGAATGAATGTTTAGCAGTTCAGTGTGTAACTTCCATTAACCATCTTTGATGGATATAAGATTATAGTCCGTATTAAATTGTCAATATACTGGCCTCTCTCATTTGTTATCTATGCTATTTAAAGTTTACATCAAAAAGCTTTTGAACAACAGAGTTAAGGACGGCGAGTGAGTCCCGGGGGGCGCGCGACAGTCGCGTGCCTGTCTGATCTGTGTCCGCATCCCGCAGCCTCCCTCTACGAGTATAAATACGCGAGTCGATAGCGCATCGCATTCATCTGACCGGTGTTCCCAACGCTTACAACACAAACCTTTTACCACTTAAGTAACAAACTACTTCGGATAATGCAGCCTCACTTAATGCACCAGCCTCTAACTTACAACATTCTGTAAAGTTTGCCCCATACTTACTTCACTGTGACTGCAACAAACTCCGCTATGTAGGACAAGGCTAAGATCAAGTTTACAATCGATAATTTATTTGGGAATTTTATGCGTGAATACAAATGTTGGTAATTATTATTTTGATATTTAAGTACGTAATAAACAGCACAGATGTAATCCCTATAAACATCTTAATTTACGATGCTATTGCCTAAACTTTAATTACTAGCGACCAGAATTTCCATGGAGCGATATAAATATGATATTTACGAGAATTGTTCGGGGCGATGGTATTACGAAGCGTTATGATAAACGTGTAATTCGCCACATAAATTATGAGACGTAGCCGCGTGCTTTCGCCACGGTGCGGCGCGGCGTGCCAACGTAAAGTACTTTGTAATAATAATAAACACGCCCACGTATCTTTTTTAATCGTTATAAACAGAGATACATTTATTTGAGAGTCGTTTATACCCGAATAATTCTTAACGAGAAAGTCGGTTCTCAACTCAACGCTGTTCAAAAGGACCGCAGGTAATTAATTAGGAAGGAATCCAATAAAGTTAGTTTTCTTTAATGTGATCAATGTTCTGGTATTCAAAATATTTACATTATAGAAAATTTATATTCATAAACCATTTCAATCAAATTTTACTTCATAATAAAATACTGAAAAAGACTGTAGACAATGAACAGGTTTGACACGACTAAACATCAATATTCACACAATATTCGAAGATAAGTTACACACGTCAGTCATAATCTTGAGTTTTTGTAGAAAGTAAAAAGGGTCGTTGGATTCGCCGTATCCTTCGGATCCAACGCCTTCGGAGCATAAATCAAAATTACATGAAAAACATCTTAGATTCATAACTGCGGTCTTTCCCTCGCTAGAGAAAAGTTTTCACGTCGTTTGATACATTATTGTGTGTAAACAAACGGGTAAATAGAGGACTTCAATATGGTTGAACATTTGATGAAAACATTCTTTTTGAAAACGTACGGGCGTGCTAAGATTTTATGAGCTTTTAAATTGTAGTTTGCAGTTCATTTTAAAACATGGCTGCTCCACCTCTGTATTTAAAATAAACAAATGTCCTGCAACAGCGCTTACAATACCCCTTTCAAACTGTTATCGGAAAACAGCACGCAATATTGAATTTACACCAACATTTTACAAGGGAAACTTATCTATGTATTATACATAAAAACGACATAATTAAATGTCGTTTTCTGATATTTATCGGCAATGTCCATAGAAATACGCGGGGCTCAACAAATAATTTGGAGTTCATTATTTAAATTCCGTGTTTGGAGCCTGTTATAGCGCCCGTGCGCTGGAACAGGAAACGACTAAAATAACAATAGCGTCGCTTACAATATTTTAATAAAAATTGCAATATTTCAACACTTTGTGCGCAATAAGGAAAAACAGGCGTTATAAGACGGAGAGCGGGTCCGGCTTCTTATTCAATCCGTGTTGTTTCAGCTATTTAGAAACTTTAGAGAATACTCCTTCTTACAACCAGTTATTTATAATAGACACAGATACCGGCACCTATATATTTATAGTGATAACAAAAGAAAAATGTTTCACATAATCCTCTTTCCTTTTTACGAAGCCATGTTGTGATGACATTGTATTCACACCAGCTTAAAATATTAGCGCGATTTTGCCCAAAAACTCATTATCACGCGATTGGGAACACTTACTCTCGTCTCAATCAGGGAGACTAAGGCAAAAAGCATTTGATAAGAGGGTAGGAGCCAAGGGGTTTTGAGGGCTCTATAAAGAGTCAAAGCGTTTTCCCCGCCGGTGTACCTATAGACATGTGGTATAAAAATGTTATGGAGTGCTCAACTTCTTGCTTGCAACAACGTTTTAAGGAAATTGCGTTTAAGAAATGTTACAGAAGACAATCATAGTTTATAGCCTGCAGCAATAACGTATAAAGCTTTCTTCCTTATAATTTACCCCCGAACAGGATACTATTTTCTCGTGGCTACTGCAATTTGTATTGTGTGAATCTCCCTGCTAGGACAATTCGAGGACTTTTATGTCAAGGCCGGTCGTGCGACGCCATGATTTCGGATGCCTCTCGCTTTGTTTTCCTTCTCTCAAAGAAAATAATTAGCAGCTGTGTACATTGTACACAGAGTGTCATATTTTTACTTATAGTTTGTACACTAGTCATAATTATTTTTGGTACAATGTTAAACCGATTTAAAAAATACGAAATATACAAAAACTGTATTTGTTGACTAATGTATTTACAGTATATCGTGTTTTAATTTATAAAGCTTTAATAAATCTTGGCATTACAACGTTAGGAAATCAGTACGTTAAGAAACTTAAGTCAATTCCATTTTAGTTGACTACCAGAAGACTTCAGTAAACTAGTAAAATTTTCCGTTCACCAAGCATAAACTCAATATTAGTAAGAAACAAGTTTTAGTACTTAATTTTACAACACAGAACCTTTTACTCAAAACGCTATTTTATAGTTTAGAATGGTTTAAATTTTACTTTTTATGTCCTCTTAAAACTATCTCTGTCTACTCTATAAAACTTAAACTTACGTCCCAAATCTGCACAAATACTATATATATATAGAGATGACAGATTTATCTTTAATAATACAGCGATTTAAAAATACATTCAAGTTGAAAATATCATACGACTCAAAAGGCTAAAGCGAAGTCTAACTAATCAACAATAGTGGTTCTATTCTCAGTTCTAAACTGGGTCGCGCTATCATTTCACTGTCTAATCTTAGCATTTTATTTCAGAACATATAAATCATACAATTTCTTCCAGTTCAATTTTCCGAAGATTCAGAACAGTTTTATTACATTGTAAAAAGTATCTGACTTTCAATAGATATCCAATTAAGTGGAAAAAAATGCCAGCACATTTTCTAAGCCCCTGGGGAGCGACGAACCCGCCAACCGAGGGGTTATACCCGTAATTACTATAATTACCTAAATACTAATAACGAGCCTCTTAACAATTTACCATTTTATTTTTTACACAGCAATTTATACGACCACTCAACAAATAATTATTTCACGCTCAAGTAAAACATTAAAAATAATTGCTTTTTATGTTATGTAAGAGACCCTTTGGGGTCACTCACGGGGCGGACGAAAAAAAAGACAAAAACAAAATGTTGGTAATTCTAAAGTGGACTTCTACTGATGTGTTTCGACACACGCCTTTGAAAAAGCAAGGAGACCACAAATTAATAATGAATTAAACATAAAATGGCTGGGAAATTACGAGAGGCAACGCTTTCACCTCGGGACACCGCCGACATTCCGTTGACACTTGGCATTCATGCATTGTTTTCACTTTTATTTAACGTTGTTTCATATTTTATGAGCAAATAAGGCCGCTACTTAAAATTAAGTGATTTTACTTTTGATGTTGGATTAAATTTAATATGAGGGCTTTAATAAATTATAATTGGACTCTAATTCGTAGTCGTTGTACAAATCATTAGAAAGATCTAAAGAAGCTTTTACTGTGAATTAACAAGACAGTCCTTCACTACAAAATAAGGATTTTTTTATTAAGTTTCAGACTAAATATTCGTCTTCAACTAAGCTAATAAGCAAAACCTTATAATACTAAGTTATAAGTACAATAGAAAGAATATTTGAATAACCTTGTTAATTTCATCGATAGTGAAATAGATGACGATAAACAATAACTACCTTAGTTGTAGAGTAACCACATAATCAAGTTTCACAGTAATATAACGTTCTCAGTATAAATGTAAGTATACGTCTGTCATGTAACCACAACCGCTGTTCGTGCTTACACGGAATCAAACGATCAAAGGTACCTCGACCGGATTATCCCTTATAACTGCCTCATTATTTTAATTATCTATTCATTTGTTGTTAATACTAATATATTGTGAAGTTATCCTTATTTATGTTTAGGTTTTAAAGTGTCAACATTGTTGGTTATGTAACGCCCGGCTCCACACGTTGACCTTAAAGTTAGCGCAAGTCTTTATTTTATCATTTAATTAGGTGAATTTTTTTTTAATATTTCTATCGAGATGTGTTACGAAGTGTAGGCATATTTGGAATATACAGTTGTACGTAATAGGAAGAAATGTGATTTTCAGCGTTTAAAAAAGTCATACCCAGTTGCCAAAGTTATGGCTAGTTTTTACATGCAGCTTTGCTCTTGCGGTTCAA